GGACAGAGAGAGAGAGATAGAAAGAGGAGAGAAGAGGGAGAAAAGGGAGAGAGAAAGGGGAGGGAGGGAGGGGGAGGGAGAGAGGGAGGGAGAGGGAGGGAGAGGAAGGGGGCTGGAGGGGGAGAGGAGAGAAAGGGGAGAGGGAGAGGGAGAAAGAGAAAGGAAGGGAGAGAGGAGAGAGAGTAAGGGGAGGAGAGAGAAAGAGGAGAGAGGGACAGGAGAGAAAGGAGAAAGGGAGGGAGAGAGAAGAGAGAGAAAGAGGAGAGAGGGAGAGAGGAGAGAAAGAGGAAAAAGAGAGAGAGGAGAGAAAGAGAAAGAAGGAGGGAGAGATGAGAGAGAGAGAGAGAGAAGGAGAGAGAGAGAGATGCCCCCCTCGGCCTTTCTCCCCCCCCCCCCCAGGTGGACGATCTGATGCGGGAGGAGCTTCAGCAGCTCCGACTGGCCGTTGACCAGGAGGAGACCAGGACCCAGAAGCCCCCCAAGAGCGCCAAGGTCAGGGGGAGAGCGTGGGAGAGGGGGGGCATCGAAGCCCTTGCCCACACCCACACCCACACCCACCCCGTTGGCTGGATGGAAAATGTTCCCTGTCTCCAAGCAGGCCAAGAAAGGCAAGAAGGAAAAAGACCTGACCCCAGACAGGTACCCCCTCCCCCTCCTGCCCCCAAGGACTTCCTGGTCAGGGTGGGGGGGGCTGGGACTGCAGAGGGGGGGGGAAGAGGGTCCCGGGCCCTCGAATAGGGGTCCGGCTGGGCTGGGTGCGGGGGGGGGGCTCCTCCACGCCAAGAGCATTACCGATCCGGCTGTCGTCTCCCCAGATAATTTTCTACGCCTCGACTGGAGCGGCGGCCGCGTCATCTCCCCAGCCTAACCCTGGGGCATGTAACCGTCTTTCTGGGAAAATGGCTTTTTTAATGCTTTCGCCAGGGAAAACTAATAGGGCAGACCCCCCCACCCCCCCTCCCCGGACATCCCCACCCCCTCTGCTTCACCCCGAATCCTGCAGCCTGTCTGAATGTTCCGTGGTTGACAAATAAGGTTTTGAAGCGCCGGACGCAGACTGGATCGCGGTTAGGCCCCGTCGTGGTTTGGGGTCGCCGTTCATTTCTATAGCGGCCTTGCCAAGCGCTGGGATAATAATAATAATAATAATAATAATAATAATAATAATAATAATAATAATAATAATAGGGAGGAGGAAGAGGAAGAAGAAGAAGAAGAAGAAGAAGAAGAAGAAGAAAAGAAGAAGAAGAAGAAGAAGAAGAAGAAGAAGAAGAAGAAGAAGAAGAAGAAGAAGAAGAAGAAGAAGAAGAAGAAGTTGGAAGGGACCTGGGAGGTCATCTAGTCCAACCCCCTTCTCAGGCAGGAAACCCTACACCATTTCGGGCAAACGGTTGTCCAGTCTCTTCATCATCATCATCATCATCATCATCAGAAGAAGAAGAAGAAGAAGAAGAACAAGAACAAGAAGAAGAAGAACAAGAACAAGAAGAACAAGAAGAAGAAAAAGAAAAAGTAGTAGTAGTAGTAGTAGTTGTTGGGAGGTCATCTAGTCCAACCCCCTGCTCAGGCAGGAAACCCTACACCATTTCGGACAAACAGCTGTCCAGTCTCTTCTTCATCATCATCATCATCATCATCATCATCATCATCATCATCACAACAACAACAACAACAACAACAACAATAAAGTTGGCAGGGACCTTGGAGGTCATCTAGTCCAACCCCCCTGCTCAGGCAGGAAACCCTATACTATTTCAGACAAACGGTTGTCCAGTCTCTTCATAGTAATTAATAATAATGATGATGATGATGATGATGATGATGGAAGGGACCTTGGAGGTCATCTAGTCCAGCCCCTGCTCAGGCAGGAAACCCTACACCATTTCAAACAAATAGCTGTCCAGTCTCTTCTTAAAAACTTCAAGTGTGGAAGGTGGAAGGGACCTTGGAGGTCATCTAGTCCAACCCCCTTGCTCAGGCAGGGAGCCCTACACCATTTCGGACAAATGGCTGTCCAGTCTCTTCTTAAAAGCTTCCAGTGTTGGAGCATTCACCGCTTCTGGAGGCAGGTTGTTCCACTGGTGAATTGTTCTCGCTGTCAGGGAATTTCTCCTTAGTTCTAGGTTGCTTCTCTCTTTGGTTAGTTTCCATCCGTTGTTTCTTGTCCTGCCTTCAGGCGCTTTGGAGAATAGCTTGACTCCCTCTTCTCTGGGGCAGCCCCTGAGATACTGGAACCCTGCCATCATGTCCCCCCTCGTCCTTCTCTTCGTTAAACTCGACATTAAACTCGACATAACTTCTGAAGTGCCTCCTCCTCCTCCTCCTCCTGTGGCTGCATGGGAAGTGATAAACCTGTCAATCTGGATCTGGACGTGCTGTGTGTGTGTGTGTGTGTGTGTGTGCAGGGGGGGGGAAAACCTGTAGGCACCAATGCAAGGAAGGAGAAACGGGGGGATGGCCCGCACGTCAGGAAGCTCAGAGTGTCCTGGTTCCGACGATGAATCTCTTCAAAGAACTTCAAGGCCTTGTTTACCTTAAAGAATCTTTATTAGGGCAGCGTAGTTTCGGCACGTACATGGTTGAAGCCAACATCGGAATTCCCCTCCCCGGAGCACATAGTATCAACGCACAGTTCCCTCCTCCAATTAGCAGTCATAAATCACCTTCTCCCATTCGCTTGAAATGCAGACCTTCCCTCCAGTTCTCCAATCCGCCATTTCTTTATCCTCTCCCCACCTTTTCCCACAGTCTGGCGGGGCAGAGGGTTCAGGAACCCCCCCCGGAAGCCCGGCCTCCCCCGGAGACCCTCCGAGGCTCCTGCTCACCCAGGGTTGACCCCCCACCACCACCATCCCGGTTTCCTTCCCATTATTGCGAGGGTGGGGCTCCCCTCACTCAGTCCCCCCTTCAGCCGACAGAGGGAGGAAGGGGGGGCTGTCTGGGGCGGCTGCAACACCCAGGGCCCCCCTCTCACTTCCCCTCCAGGACCATCGACTCCCTCTATGAGGAACTGGTCCTCCAAGGCATCATTAAGAAGCCCCCGAAGGTGCAGCTGGCCGACTACTCAGGTCAGTGGCCGTACCCCCTCCCTCTCAGAAGCCCCCCCTCCGCTCCCGTGGCTGGGAACCTCGGCGGGAAGCAGCCCACCCAGCCCTCGCTCTGACCAAAAGCAGGGGCGGTGGAACGTGGGCACGGCTGGCCGCGTCCCCCCGATTTCTCGTCCTCGGCTCCGGTTCAGCTGCCAGCCAGGTCCTTGGGGAGGGTCCGTGGGGGCTGCCCAGATGTTCCTCTTCGGTAGAACCTCCCCCTGCCCAAAAAAAGGACCGGAGTGGCGCCTGGCTGGACGTTGTGCCACTTGTCTGAGCCCTTCGTTGCCGGATGTCAGCCTGTTGGGACTCAGATCTGGTATTTTGGGGTGCCGGTGTCCATCAAGTCCGCTTCCCAGGGTGGTGTCCACTTCGGATGTCCCAAACTCTCCCCTCCACCTCACAGAATGCTACGGGGTCCCCTCAGACAGGAACCTGAGTTCACGAGGCAGAGCAGGGGGTCTTCATCCGGTTTTCTGGGCTCAGGCGGGACCCTCTATCCCGGGTACACCCATCGCTTCTTACGCCGAACAATCCCAGTTAAGGCTGCCCGCTGTTCAAGCTCGCCCGGCACCACCCTGACGCGTGAGGGCCTGGAGCGGGGCCCCCCGCCCTCGTCAGCCAGGCCTAGCCCCCCTGGGGGGCACCCTGAACGGGGTGGGGGGCTCCGCTGCAGAGGGCGGAGGCTCACGGGCAGCCTAGGGTGGGGGGGACTCCAGCAGGCCCACCCTGGCGGTCCCGTGCTTCAAGGACAGGACGGACGAGGACGGACTCTTCCCGGGCCCCTCTCCCCTTTTTCCCGGAGGGCCCCTGCAAGGGAAGGGCTGAGCTCTGGGCAGTAAGGGCTAGGGGTTAGGGTTAAGGGGGCGGCCCTTTGCCCAGCAGTCGGGGAAGGTCCCTCTCCGTACTCACTCCGTACTCACTCCGTAAAGCCCCGCGTGAGTCTGGATCCAGCGGCGTAGTAGGAAGTCGGTCGCGCCGATCCATGGTGAGATTCCCACCCCCCCCCATCGCCCCTCCGGCCCCATTTGAAGGCCATCTAGCTGCCCCCGCGAAGGCGGCCGTGGAGCCTGGGTGCCAGAGGGGGGCCTGTGGGCTGGCCAGCTCCTGCCGTCCGTGGGGGGTATCCCGCCGTCCTGGAGACAGGGAGCTTGGCCAGCCCTCCTGGGTTGGGGGCCCCTGCCCATCCTGGGGGGCTCCCGCCGTGGAGCCCTTCAGCGCTGGGCCTCTGCTTCCCTCGCAGGGGACTTCTGCTACCTGGGCACCGCCTTGCGCCAGAAGGACATTGAGCCCATCCCCTCCATGCTGGACGTCCGGCAGAATGTCGCCCTCTACGCGATCCTTCCTCTGGGTGAGCCGGCGACCGCCCCCTCCGGCCTCGGGGTCGGTCTGGGCTTCGGGGTCTCTGCCCCTCTCCAACCTTCCCATCTCTCTCCCTCCCTCCCTCCTGCCCCGCCAGGTTCCCAGACCCTGCACGAATTGGCCCCCCCGGTGAGGTCGCTGCTCCTGGCCGGCCCGGCGGGCACGGGCAAGAGGATGCTGGTCCACGCCGTCTGCACCGAGACGGGGGCCAACCTCTTCGACCTTTCCCCGGACAACCTGGCCGGCAAGTATCCGGGCAAGGCCGGCCTGCAGATGCTGCTCCACCTGGTCTTCAAGGTACGGAGCCCCCTTGGCCGACGGAGGCCCCCTCCCCAGTGGGCGGGCGGCGGGGGTCCTGCGGGGAGAAGCCGGACCACCTGGCGAGGGGCAGGGAGGGGCCCCCTCCTGGCCCAGGGGGCGGGGCTGGGGGCGGGGCTCCCCTCTTTCCCCTCCCAGCTGGTGCTCGCTGGGAAAGAGCAGCGGGGTGGGGTGGGGGGTCCAGAGCCTCCACATTCCCGGTCTGCCAAGATCCCTTGCAGCTTGATTCGGATGCAGATTTGGATTCAGATTCTGATTCGGATTGATTCTGATTCTGATTCCGATTCCGATCCGGATTGATTCTGATTCTTCTGATTCCAATTGATTCTGATTCTGATTCTGATTCTGATTGATTGTGATTGTGATTGTGATTGTGATTTGGATTGATTCTGATTCTGATTCTGATTCTGATTCTGATCCGGATCCGGATCTGGATTGATTCTGATTCTTCTGATTCCAATTGATTCTGATTGTGATTGATTCTGATTCTGAATCTGATTCTGATTCTGAATCTGATTCGGATTGATTCTGATTCTTCTGATTCTGATTCTGATTCTGATTCGGATTCGGATTCGGATCCGGATCCAGATTCTGATTGCAATGGATTCGGATTCGGATTTGGATTGCGATTGACTCTGATTCTGATTCTGATTCTGATTCTGATCCAGATCCAATCGGATCCGGATTCTGATTCTGATTCTGATTCTGATTGATTCTGATTCCAACTGATTTGGATTTGGATTTGGATTCGGATTCTGATTGATTCCAATTCTGATTCTGATTCTGATTCTGATTCCGATCCCGAAGCACCGGGCTAGAAGAACCAAAGGCAGGCTGTGTGTCAAGTTGACTTGACTTGGGGACGGCTCTTGTGGGGTGTGTGTGTGTGTGTGTGTCTTTTGGCTCAAGTCCATCCTTGTCAGGGTCAGCCGCAGCATCCTACTCGTTCTGTCTGCCCCCTCCAACCCCTCCGTCCCCGGAAGTGCAGGTGGCCCGCCTTCTGCAGCCGTCCGTCCTCTGGGTCGGGGGCGCGGAGAAGATGTTCTACAAGAAGGTCCCCAAGGAGGAGAAGGAGGTGAGGCCAGGCCGGGCCGGGGGAGGGGGGGCACCTTCCCCTGGCCGCCCAAGAGGCCCCTGGCCGGTTCCCGGCCCCCTCCCGGCCGAATCTGGCCCCGGGAGCTCCTGGCCGGGTCCTGATCCGGGTGGGGGGCCGGGTGGGCGCACGGCTGTCTCCCCCCCTCCCGTGCAGCTGGACCCCAAGCGGCTGAAGAGGGACCTGCCCAGAGCCCTGAAGCTGCTGAGGGCCGAGGACCGGGTGCTGCTGATGGGCACCTCCTGCCAGCCCTACCTGGCCGAGACGAAGGCCCTGTGCAAGGCCTACGAGAGGGTCCTGCTCCTCCCCACGCCCGACTACGCCGCCCGCTACGGTGA